CGACAAAATGAAGGATGTCCTTTTTTCTCACAATGTACCTGGCTTGTCTGATATAAATTCTATTTATCAGACCTCCTATCTTCGATGACATAAGCAGATCCCATTGGAAAATCTGGTTCTGAGACTACTTGCTCAGAAAATTTTAGTCTCAGAAAATTTAGTTAAGACATAATTCCCAAAAGGCAAGGCTTGGAAGATATTGGGGATAGGGATAAAGCAATTAGACGTAATTCCGAGATTAGAACTTATATTACCAGTGTTTAAAGCTTAATAAAGCCTTTAACAAAGAACAGTTAGATAAGTCTCAGAAAGGAATCAGAGCAAAAGACAAAAAAGTTTGATGTGTGAACACTAAATAATCTCTAAATATGCATCGGTATGTGTATAAAATTTATACATGCCTATCAGCCAGTTTGGTCTGCTAATTATGATACAAAAATATGGAAGAAAGGTCATAAAATTTCTTTTAGAATTAATTTGTACAATCCAAGAGATACATGCTAACATTGTTGCATGGCAAAATCTTATAGAGCTATAGGATTATTATTTCCCTTCATGGTCTAAGGCTACTTTGAAACTAGCTGGCCTTCCTATTGCTGATTTAGGAGGCAGAAATGGGAGAGTATGGTACCGATAGGTGTTCAGAGAGAAGTAGGAAGAAAAAAGACCGGGTTAATGTATGGGGTGACGTGGAATATTGTGTCCTGGGCTGTGTTAGCAAGCAATCTTGTCCTCTGTCTTCCAATTAGTAGGAGTGAGAACTCAGCCACCATCAGGAGCTCTGCGGGCAGTGAAGACAGGGGGGTCAGGGTATCTGTTCTCCTGATTGAGCTTCCAGGCAGCATGCCTCCACCCAAGGCCACAGTTTTTCTGGAGGCAGGGGAGGGGATGTCATTTTTTTTTTAAATTGTACTTTAGGTTCTAGGGTACATATGCAGATCGTACAGGATTGTTGCGTAGGTACATACATGGCAAGGTGGTTTGCTGCCTTCATCCCCCCCATCACCTATATCTGGTATTTCTCCCCTCATTATTCCTCCCCACCCTCCCCACTCCTGTTGTCCCTCCCCTAGTCCCCCCCTACTGACTGCAGTATGTGATGCTCCACTCCCTGTGTCCATGTGTTCTAATTGTTCAACACCCGCCTAAGAGTGATACCATATGGTGTTTGGTTTTCTGTTCTTGTGTCAGTTTGCTGAGAATGATGGTTTCCAGATTCATCCATGTCCCTATGAAGGACACAAACTCATCATTTTTTATGGCTGCATAGTATTCCATGGTGTATATGTGCCACATTTTCTTTATCCAGTCTATCGATGATGGACATTTGGGTTGGTTCCAGGTCTTTGCTGGGGGTCTTGTATCGTCACTTGCCCTGGGTTCTGCTGAAACTTGCTCCTTCCTCACTCTCTCATGCCTATAGCTGCTAATGGTCCTCCACAATTGCTGTCCCTGAAATGCTTGCAGTGGTGAAGATCTACTCTGTCGATTTCCTTGAACTATGCCCATACCTTTGTAAACGTCCTTTCATTAACATGCCTCAAAACCCTTTTGAAGGTACCGGCTGCTTTTTGCTTGGAACTCTGACTGACGCAATTGTCTTCTAACATAAATGGAGCATTAAGCTCTAACAAGGTAATTTTGGTAAATTTCAAGGATATAAGGCAACAGTTCCTACTGACCTCTTTCTTTGGCCTCAGTAATAAAAAAAAATCTTAAAATATAATCTGTCGTTAATTATTGATGGAATAATGTTATCCTCATTAGTGCCTGCTCTTCTCTGGTAAGCCCAGCTCCTCAATTAACTTTAAACAAAATTATGGAACAACTTTATGGATTAAGTTTTGAACGCGTTAAATTTGAGATGCCTGATGGATAGTCTAATGGTAATACTTTCTAAGAGTAAAACGTGAAACTGTTTGCCCTTGAGACAGTGAGTTCCACATTGCAGGCAATGTCCAGGCAGCAGCTGGAAAAGCAATGAATCACTTGTTGAGCTTCCTGATTTTAAGGTCTTTTCCAGTGGGTACTTTTAGGATTTTAAGCCATAATGTTCTATCACCATAATATTTATTATGAAAATGTTGGCTGTTCAGTTGGATATTTTAATAAAATGGTACATGAACAATATACATACATCTGTATGTATATTTATGCACAAAAATCTTAAAGAATGTTACTGTATTCAGTATGACATGGTGGAAGCTCTGGTCTCTAGAGAGAGCTAAACCTCTGTCTCCCTACCAGCTCTCAACAGAAAGCTGTATGTTCTGTGGAAGTTACCTAACATCTCTGAGTCTCAGTTTTCTCACATTTTTCTCATAGAGCAATGGTGAGAATTCAATGAGCTAACATCTAGAACAAATTTAGGTACTCAATAAAGGTTTCACATTCACCATTAAACTGTTCTTCCTGTTACATTAATTAATAGTGCAAAGATAAATAAGAATGTGTTTAAGAATTCTTTTCTAAATGGAAAAACCACAAAGTATGATCAACACCTCTACTTTAGCATCTCACAACATGACATGACCCGGCAGATACACTGTGGAAGAAGGAGCCTTTCCCGAGAGAGCCAATATTTTAAAATACCATAAACAAATTATCTTTTTATAGTGCCACTATCCATCTTATAGCCATTTTGTACTTAAAACATCAAAAAAGTATAAGCCAGGCATTATTATCTCTATTTATAAAGGAAAGAATTTATAAAGGGCAGATAACTCATTCATTATCCTATAGGAAGTAGTCTTTCCACTAACTCATTGGGACATTTTACTCTGGTTGGGAAAACAAGACGAAAAAATTTAAAAAATTAAAAAATCAAATTACATATAGCAGCATAGACATGTTACATGAGTTAAGCCAACTCATTTCTAAGTACACTTAAGAATATGTGGAGTGGGAAAATCTCCCTGCTCCATAAATTCTTGGGTGGGGTAGTCTGGCAATAAGAGAAACACATAGCCTGTAGGTTCAGCACACCAGCAGAAACGAAACCAAATCCTGACCCCTTCACATCCAAGTTGTGTCACGTTGGACAAACTATTCAGCTTTCTATGCCTCAACTCCTTCATCTGCAGAATGGAGGTTAAAATAGAACCTGCCCATTGGGTTATGATGAGGTTTAAATGAAACAATCTAGTTAAAGTGCTACTGCAGAGAAAGTGTTTAATAAATAGAGCTGCTAATATTACAAGACAAAGCAACAGCGTTCTACTGGAGAGCTAATTTGCTGAGATCCACAGAATTGGTTAGTGACAAAGAAGAGACTAGAGCCTAGTTCCTGTCCAGTGTCCTTCTGCTATGAATGAACCATCGCTTAATTAGGTTTTGAAACACAGGTGATAAGAACTTCAGCTAAAAGAAAAAATGAGGGCTAGATAATACGCTATCTATCTGAAATCTATGGATGTTGCTTTTCTCAGAAGCAGACACGTCGCAAGTACCTATGAGAAAACATAAACAAATCACATTCCTTCCAAATGTTCCTGTCTTCCTTCTATGTGGGAGACTGCCTCACAGTTAAACACCTTATAACATGGTTCACTTGTGATTTCAGTGACCAAATCCCCTTCGACAGGTATAAAAAGGCACAGGCTTACAACACGTTTGGCTCTTACCGTGACTAATGCCACAGTGAGGCATCAGTGTAGACAGTTCTGGCAGGACAGAAATGGATGAGGAGTTCAAAGAACCAAAGTAAAGCCTGCCATCATCTTCGAGACTAGCCTGTGCTCAGTTTTATACACACTCCTTAACTACTTTGAGTCACCAGGGACTCATCACTCTCAGCCTTAATTAAGAAAGCATTTTTCTAGTCACGTGTTGTAACCAGGAGAGCAGTAGTCTTACAACCAGTTACCATAACATCCTTGGCTAATAGGACAGGCTCTTTAACAATGCATTAAGGCTGAATGAATTTGGGCAATCAAGAATAAAATGATAGTGAAACTTTAAACAAGAGTGTGCTTAAGATGATTGTTCAGGCTTTTCCCTGATTACTTTTCTTCTGTCAGAAGCATTTGTTGTTCATTTCCTTTTAAAAATCATTTCACATGGATCCTAATCAATTGCAGTGAGCACAAGTTGACCCAAAATCTTTATTAGGCTCTTGTGGCACCATCTTCCTGACTTTTCTTGGAATAAAAGTAGAGCCTCCCTGGGTTTAGAAACTGCTTTTCTGGTTAATGAGGACTGAACAGTTTAATTCCTAATTACGGTAGTCCCTTTTATAATGTCATGTTTCTAGGAGATTGGAACATTTGCATCTTTAAACGCCAAGCCAGCAAAAACAGTTGTAGCATATATTAAACTCTGAGTAATTATAATATTCTATTTAATTCCTTCAGACGAGGAGAGAGACTTCCACATGAACTGTCTGCAGATTCCCAGAGAGCAACAGAGGAGAACATTCCAGGATAATGCATGTAAGATAGGACCGAGTTGAGAAAGCTGCAGTTCTGAGGACCTGCATATTAACACAGGTGATGCAAGAGCCTCGGAGATGCCTTTCTCAGCTCTATCAGCCTGAGGAATCTATTCATTCCTCCTCTTTCTTAAAGAATAGGACGGCCTCCAGCTGCTTCTCTGTTAAACATAAGGAATTTAAAACTCACCGGTTTAGAGGGCCTTGCTTAGATTATATGTTTGGATTTCAGCCAAAGTATATGGTGTTGATATGGAATTTTCAAAGTATATTACCCAGCAACATTCCTCTGCTGATTACTCCTTTTTGGCCCTGCATACTCAGTTTGTATTCTTCTAGTTGATTCCTCTCGGTTTTTATATTATTCCAGTTACTTAACTTCACCCTTAAAACCAGGAAGAGTTTGGTAATCACTTTTTCCCTTTAGCAAATATGATGGGCAGTAGCTGCCATCTCAACAACGGCGACAAAAGACAGAAGGAAATGATATATCCTCCCTTCACCTTGAGTCACTTTCCATAATCAAAAGTGACCTTGAGTGACTTTTCATGCTAATTCAGGCAAGACTTACTTTTAGGAAGAGGCCAGCATGGTATGACGCTTTAGCTTGATGGCCAGCATTGCCACCTGTGTCATCTTTGAATCCTGGCTTCCACATCTGTAAAATGGATAACTCTCTGTAAAGATCAAGAGATAACACATACAAAGCACCAAACTTGGTACACAAGGAAATGTTTGCTACACATTAGTTGCCTTTCCCTTTCATTTTAAGGTGGTCAGATGTGTCACTTAAAAGTCTCCTAAGGAAAGAAAACCTGCAGTGGAAACCTCAAAAACTGTTAACCAGTGAAAATGTTTTTTGGTAAGTGATTACAGAAAATTGGAGAACATTCTAAATATGAAACTTGTTTCATGTAATTCACCTGAGGCCTTTTAGGCAACAGGTGGCAAGAATCGCCTATATAAGAAATGCATGATCCAGCAAGAGATTAAGCACTTGCCTGCTTACCACCAGAGGACAACAGCAGGCTGTAATTATTGCGTAAATGCTCCTTATGAAATACTGGCCTCGGTGATGTCAGAACCCAAAAGAGGTATGTGGTACTTTTTTCCCAAGAGCACCCAAAGAGGGAGCACAGTGTACTGGAAAGAATGTTGGCTTTTGACTCCACATCCTGTTACCTATTTGCTAACTGAACGTCTCTGAAATTGAGTTTTTTGGGTGTGTGTTTAATCTGTAAAATGTGAAAGGGAATTTTTTATTGCCTCGCAAGATGATTTGAAGCAGAGATTCTCAAACTTCAGTGCATGCACAAAGAACCTGAAGACCTCGTTGCAATGCAGTCTGGTTCAGGAAGCTTGCAGTGGAGCCTGAGATTCTGCATTGCCAATAACTCCCAGGAGATGCCAGTGCTGCTGGTTTGAGGACTACATTTGAGAAGCCAGGATTTAGAGGATTGTATGAGATATTATACACGTAAGAAGGACTTGTAGACTCTTGGGTACAACAGGTAGAAGGGAATGTCATTAATAGCAGCAGTATTCACATACGGTATTCGATTTAGAATGAAAGGATGTGAAAGTCAGTAGTGTTACATATTGGCTTTAATATGTATTTTCTCTAATACGTAACACTACTGACTTTCACATCTTTTCATTTTTCTTTTCAGTGCTTCTAGCAGTACCTGTTCAATAATTAATTTATTTTATTTTATTTCACTTACTTAACTTCACCCTTAAAACCAGGAGGAGTTTTGTAATCACTTTTCCCTTTAGCAAATATGACGGGTAGTAGCTGCCATCTCAACAATGGTGACAAAAGACAGAAGGAAATAATACATCCTCCCTTCACCTTGAGTCACTTTCAACAATCAGTGCTTCTAGCAGTACCTATTCAATAATTAATTTTTTTAGTGTAGTTAAGATAGGGCCTATGGAATATACCAAGCTTTGCACAGCGTATATATGTATTGGAAAGAAGAAAAGGAGGGATAAAGGGAAGGAGGAAGGAACGGCGAAAGGATGAAAATACATTCTGTTTTATAGTACAGGTGGGTGTCTCCTCTTAGAGAAAAGGGAATGTCACAGAAAAAATGAAGGCAGACCATTGTCATATTACATTGAATATATGAGGACAATGGTAAGATTAGTTTAAGATATTTACATTGATGATGGGGGAATTTAGGGATGGTATTATGAATAGATATGGCTTGATAAGTTTCCAGAAACTATCTGCAGATTCAACTATTTCAGAGGTCCCCAATTCCCAGGCCATGAACCGGTACTGGTTGGTGGCCTGTTAGGAACGAGGCCACAAGCAGGAGGTGAGCTGTAGGTGAACGAGCATTATCACCTGAGTGCCACCTCCTGTAGGATCAGCAGCAGCATTAGATTCCTGTAGCAGTGCAAACCCTATTGTCAACTGCACATGTGAGGGATCTAGGCTGTGCATTCCTTATGAGAATCTAACTACTGCTGGATGATCCGAGGTAGAATAGTTTCATCCTGAAACCATCCCCAGACTGCCAACCTGGTCCATGGAAAAACTGTCTTCCACAAAAGTGGTTGGTCCCTGGTGCCAAAAAGGTTAGGACTGCTGGTATACTCTATCTCCCCGAGATAGATATAAGAACACAGAGAAATTATTTTTGTCAAGAACATTTTTTTTTTTTTGAGACGGAGTCTCACTCTGTTGCCAAGCTGGAGTGCAGTGGCGCAATCTTGGCTCACTGCAACCTCTGCCTCCTGGGTTCAAGTGATTCTCCTGCCTCAGCCTCCTGAGTAGCTGGGCCTACAGGCATGCACTACCACGCCCAGCTAATTTTTTTGTATTTTTAATAGAGATGGGGTTTTACCATGTTGGCCAGGATGGTCTCAATCTCTTGACTTCATGATCTACTTGCCTCGGCCTCCCAAAGTGCTGGGGTTACAGGTGTGAGCCACCATGCCCGGCGGGAAGGAACAGTATTTTTAGATCTACATCCAAGACCACAGACCTTATCTATAAGTAAACAGCATTTATTGAGCACTCACTGTGTGCACAGCACGATACCAAGTACACTTCCTTTTTCCAAGGAACTCAACTTCATGATTGTGTCACTGCACAGCCAAGTGGTACCAGGACCCGAGAGCAGGGCTGCAGTGTCTTCTCATCATTTTTGGCAAGCTGGCTTTACCTTCTAAGTTTTAAAAAGACACCAGAGGTAATCCTCAGTTACTGTCTAGTAATATTTGGACTAACCGAAAAAAGACAAGCATTTAAAGTTGAATTCCCCTCAGGATCCTTTATTCAAATGATACCTCACCACATCACCCAGTCTCAAATTGCACCCTCTCTCACTCTGTCCTCACATGAGCCCCCACTCCTGCTCATGTTCTCCCTAGCACTTGTCAAACACTCTGGAGTTTTCTTAGTTGTTTTGTTATCATCTGTCTCCCTCAGTCAGACACAAACTCAGAGAGCAGGGATGGGTTTTTTTTGCTCTGTTCACTGTTGTATCCCAGCAACTGGACATGCATCTACACATAGCAGGTGTTTAGTAAGTATTTGTTAAAAGAATAAATAAATAGGATTTATAGTAGTTAACTGCTTTAACAACATTTTCTTAAAGCCCATTAGAGAAGGGACTGTGTGGTTTTATTTTTCCAGAGTGCATCCATGGAATTCTGGAAATCATTATTTAACTCATTTTCTCCCAAATAAATAACTTTCTGTTTTGAATAAAGATGGGAGCCAATATAACGTATCCAAGACTTTATGTTTATTTGACAGTGAACATGAATAGGACACTTTTTTTTTCTGTGCCCCTTCCAGAAGCAAGGTGCTCATGGAGCCATGCAGGGGGCTCCCTGGATAATTACTTATGAGAGAGCTTCCTGGAGCATACAAAGTGACTGCTGAGTATCTAAGGTATCTCTTTTTCCCTTGTCTTGGTGACCAGGAACCACAGGAACAAAATTGGGGGAGTTGGTTAATCTTTCTTCAGGCATTCAAGGAGAAAGAGCACCTCTGATGGGACCTTATCTCCCATAAACATCCTGGATCAAGGGTAACCTTCAGCATCTCCTAAAGCAGAAAAGTGTGGTAAGAAATGCCAATCCCAGTCGGACGCAGTAGCTCATGCCTGTTATCCCAGCCCTTTGGCAGGCCGAGGCAGGCAGATTACGAGGTCAGGAGATCGAGACCATTCTGGCCAACATGGTGAAACCCCATCTCTACTAAAAAAACAAAAATTAGCTGGGTGTGGTGGTGTGTACCTGTAGTCCCAGCTACTCGGGAGGCTGAGGCAGAAGAATTGCTTCAACCCGGGAAGCGGAGGTTGCAGTGAGCTGAGATCACACCATTGCACTCCAGCCTGGTGATAAAACAAGACTCTGTCTCAAAATAATAATAATAATAAAAAATTTAAAAAAAAAAGCCAATCCCTAACTCAAGGTTTCCCAGGGCTGTGTCAGGTGAATCCCAATCAGGCCTCAATTGAGACAGTGCTTCCCTCCTTCAGTAGACCAGCTATTTTTTGATGCCTTAGAGTTACTGGCCTTCAGTTTAACTCCCGGTTCATTTGAAAGCCATGGAGATGACCACGGTTCACTGTCTTAACCCTTCAAGGATAGCACTGATGGTACCTAACAGAGCAGAGTGTTACGGTGACCTGACCTTGGAAATGGTTTGGTGAGAGCTGAGCTCCAGCTTGTGAATCCTATTTTCAGTCTTCATGCAGTTTTAAGATTTAGCCCAATTTCCAGACCATCCCCGACCCAGGCTTGAAAATGGCTTTATTTCATGCTTTGCGGCAGGAGGTAAGTGGGTTTCTATGTGAAAGTGATGGTGCCAAAGACATTTATGAACATTAAAAAATGTCTGAACATGGCTTAAAGCCACTCAGCCTATTTCTCATCCTGCGCCGTGCCTTGTGGAGCGTATGCAAGTTCAGAGCTCTCTTTGAAATCAGTGGCAGTTATGAGCTTGGAGCAACTCTGTGGGGCACTGAGCAATATAATAAATGAACCCCTTTGAAGACCAACCATTGTAGCTGGGCTTTTTTTGTGCTATCCAGCACAGATTTCTCTGGGTGTTCCGTGGGGCGGCGGGGAGTGGCCCACCAACACAACATTCTCTGGTTTTCAACTTTGGTCCTGACAGGTGGGAGGGGTTTAGTAAAGTAAGTGCTCCCATATCCTTAAAGAATTGGCCTAAACCCTTTTGCTATTAATACCTGGGATAAGACATCCCGTGCCCACATACCTTCAGTTAAAACAAAAGCCTCCTTTCATCTGCATGTGCTTACTGGTCTATGCAGCAACAAAACTAGCAACAATAACAATAAGCAAAACAAAATAAGTCTGCCAGGAAACAAAGCAGACTTATTTGTATATCAGGGATTTTTCCAAGTATTTATTTAGTTAAAAGCAGAGAATACAATCTGGGATATTCTTCATGTTTCTCCTGTGACATTGCAGGCCAAGTTGATAATCTGATACAAAGACAAAATTTCCTGAAGATTCTTAAACGAGAATTAAAGCTTTTTTATTGACTTTTGACTAGATATTTTGAAATGGCTAGTATCCATATTTCAAATAGTTCAATAAGATAAGTATGTTCAAGTTGCCTTTAAATATAATTAAGAAGACTGAATTGGCCAGGTACAGTGGCTCACACCTGTAAGCCTAGCACTTTGGGAGGCCGAGGCGGGCGGATCACAAGATCGAGAGATCAAGACCATCCTGGCCAACATGGTGAAACCCTGTCTCTATTAAAAATACAGAAATTACCTGGGCGTGGTGGCATACGCCTGTAGTCCCAGCTACTCGGGAGGCTGAGGCAGGAGAATTGCTTGAACCCGGGAGGTGGAGGTTGCAGTGAGCTGAGATCTCGCCACTACACTCCAGCCTGGTGCCTGGTGACAAAGCAAGACTGTGTCTCAAAAAAAAAAAAAAAAAAGAAGACTGAATCATTTGATCCTATTTTTCAAGTACAAGTGTGAATGATTGCTTGAATGCTACCATGCTACCTCCTGCACTGGATGCAGATTCAACTAATTTTTGCTGAATCTCTTCTTTATTTCTCACAATCACACTGTGAGATCAATATTGTTAACCCTACTTAGTAGATAAAAGAATTGAGGTGAGAGTTCCAATAGCAAAGAGCTGGTGTCAGAGTTGGTATCTACACCTAGATCCTTTGACCCTCAAATCCAGCCCTCATTCCACAGCAGAATTTAGCTACTTGTCAAGCTACAATAATCTGTCCCTCTCTGCAATTAAAGTAACATGTTATTTATCCACAGTGAGAAGTATTTGAGCCAATACTGAGTCAGGGCCAAGTCCCTGTAGGGGGCCTGATCAAGAGCGATTGTAAGAAAAGTCAATAACAAGTGAAATGGACTTCAAGGAAACATTCATTTCTATATACAAATGTGGTATAAGAAAGTTCATTTTACTATCTTTGAAACTATTTCTAAGATAAAGATAGATAGAATAATCTTTATAGTTATTGACAGGCATAAGAACTTTCGTGTACTTTCTCATATTCTGCCTCGTTCTCAAACCATGCTACGTGAATATCAGATGAAAAATAAGTGAAGTATACTAAGTGGAAACCAGAGATAAATTATTCCAAAGGCACACCACACTGAAGATGAAGGCAAAATACAAAAATAAAACAAAAATATCAGTTGTAAGATAATAATAATAACTAATACAGTATGTATTAAGGACTTATGGTTTGCCAGACATAATACTAAACATTTTTACACTGATTGTTTCATTTGATTCTCACTGCATTCCTATGGAGCATGTACTGTTATTTTTGCTAATTTATAGATGAAGAAATCAAAGCATAGAGAAGTTAATAGGCTCAAGATCAACCAACTAATAGATGATGGATGCTGAATTTGAAACCATGCATTACGGCTTCAAGACCATCCAAACACGCAAACACACTGCCATTACTCGTGAAAAAAACAATTGTTTCCTGGCATTTGGGTCTAAGAGAAATGGATCTTCATGCCATTACGAATGGAACATAAACGATACTGAGGATGGTGCCTTTCCTTTTGAACAGCCTCCATGATGCTAAAAAGGCTGAGAGGCCTATGGCTGTTTCTTGTTGGGCCCCTCAATGCCAGCCAAGGCACCATGCCAAAATGCAATTCAGTAAAAGTGAGTAATAGTAAAAGAGGCCAAAACAATATGGCTCAAGTATTTAGTTTGATGGTTTACCTTGATCTTGAGATATAATCTAAACTATCTGGAGAGATGGATGGACTTCATGTCCTTCAGGCAATCCTCCATGGAGCCTCCTTAGCTGTAAACCTTCCTTGAGCACTGCTCTGCTGAAGGAAAAAGAAAAATCATAACCATATAGAATGGCGATCATAAATCTGGAGTGAAACTAATCTCAGTTGTGCCTTCAGTGTTACTTAGTAGTCTTATTACATGTGCTTCTCCTGTTTCCCTCAGCTGCTGTTCTAAACTTTCTCCACTCTTCAAAACTCTCAATCTTCTCTTTTTTGGGATGACCTTGCTTCTAATTTAGAGACTAGCAACTATCAGGAGTGGCTTCTTTCATTTCCCTGTCCATTCACCCATAAGCCCACCTGCGCCTGCATCGACTTTTTCTTTGTCCTTATTTCTAGCAAAACACAATTTTCCTATCAAAGGCAAGCCCATCCACTGGAGCTATGAAAGTTATTCTACCTTGAACATAGAAGGGGTTTTGTCTGTTTAACTTCTATGTCCAATGGGACATAGAAGGGACCCATTTATTTAGAACCCTTATACCTCTTCCTCTGATAACTATATTTTTTAGAAAGTGAAAGTTAAATTTACTATCTATGATTTCACATCACCCACTCACTCTGATCCATTTGAACCCATATCACTGCAGAGATAGTCTTGCTTCACCCTCTAACCCAGTGGAATAAGCATTGTTAATAATCTGACTCTTCTTCCATTCTTGGAGCTCTGGCTTTATCTATTTTCTCTCTCACCTGGCTTACCTCCTGCTGCACTGACCACTCCTTATCCAGTGCCTTGGTTCATTTCTGTTTCTTTGTCCTCCTTTTAAATGTCAGTGTCTTTTTGTCCCTCTTTATTTACTTTTGGGGGGATCTTGTCCCTACCATTTTTTAACATCTAAAACTCCATCCTAAAGGAGAAGTCAAATTATCTTTGTTTGCAGATAATATGATCTTATATTTGCAAAAGCATAAACATTTCATTGAAGAAATATTAGAGCTGATAAATTCAGTAAACTTGCAGTATACAAAGTCAGAATACAAAAATGAGTAACATTTCTATATACCAACAGCAAACAATCTGAAAAGGAAATCAAGAAAGTAATCCCATTTATAATAGCTACAAATAAAATTAAATTCCTAAGAATTAACTTCATCAAAGAAGTGAAAGATCTCTACAATGCAAACTATAAAACACTGATGAAATAATTGAAGAGGACATACAAGAAATGCTTCATATTCATGAATTAGAAGAATCAGTATTGTCAAAATGTCCATACTGTTCAAATAATTTTTGATTCAATGAAATTCCTATCAAAATACCAATGACATTCTTCACAGAAACAGAAAAAACAATCTTAAAATTTATATGAAACCACAAAAGACCCAAAACAGCCAAAGCTATCTTGAGCAAAAAGAACAAGATTGGAGGAATAACATTACCTGACTTCACATGATACAACAGAGCTATAGTAACCAAAACAACATGGTACTGGCATAAAAACAGTCGCATAAATCAGTAGAACAGACTTGAGAACTCAGAAAGAAATGTATATATCTATAGTAAACTTCTTTTTGACACAGGTGCCAAGAACATACATTGGGGAAAGGACAGTCTCTTCAATAAATGATGCTGGGAAAACTGGATATCCATATGCAGAAGAATACAACTGGACCCTATGTCTCACCATATTAAAAAAAATCAAACCAAAATCAATTAAAGACTTAAATCTAAGACCTCAAATTATGAATCTAATGAACGAAAACATTGGAGAAACTCTCCTGGACATTGATCTATCAAGAAACACCTCACAGGCACAGGCAACCAAAGCAAAAATGGACAAACAGGATCACATAAAGTTAAAAAGCTTCTGCACAGCAAAGGATACAATCAACAAAGTAAAGAGACAACCCATAACAAATCAAAACTACAGTGAGCTATCATCTCCTTCCAGTTAAAATGGCTTTTATCCAAAAGTCAGACAATAACAAATGCTCGTGAGGATATGGAAAAAGGGGAACCCTTACATACTGTTGATGAGAATGTAAATTAGCACAACCAATACAGAGAACAGTTTGGAGGTTCTTCAAAAAAGTAAAAATAGAGCTACCATATGATCCAGCAATCCCATTGTTAGGCATATACCCCAAAAGAAAATAAATCGGTATATTGGAGAGAGATCTGCACTCTCACATTTATAGCAGCACTATTCACAGTAGCCAAAATTCAGAAGCAACCTAAGTGTCCATCAACAGACAAACAGATAAAGAAAATGTGGTTCATATACACAGTCCATAAAAAGGAATGAAATCTCATTTGCAACAGCATGGATGGAACCAGAGATCGTTATGTTAAGTGAAATAAACCAGGCACAGAAAGGAAAACATTACATGTTCTCACTTATTTGTGGGAGCTAAAAATTAAAATAATGGAACTCGTAGAGATAGAGAGCAGAATGATGGTTCAATAGAGGCTGGGAAGGGTAGAGGGGGATTGGGGCTAGGGAGTGGGATGGTTAATGGGTACAAAAAATAGAAGAATGAGTAAGATGTAGTACTTGATAGCACAGTAGGGTGACCAGAGTCAATACTAATTTAATTGCACATTTAAAAATAACTAAAAGAGTATAATTTTAACACAAAGGATAAATGTTTGAGGTGATGGATATTCCATTTATCCTGATGTGATTATTATGCATCATATACCTATATCAAAATATTTCATTTTATGTACCCCATATATACGCCTTCTATGTACCCACAAAAATTAAAATTAAAAAGAAAAAATAGGAAGAATAAACAGAGTACAGCAAAACAAAAATAAATCTCTTTCCTAAGCTCTAGTCCCTTCCATACCAACTATTTTCTAAATAGTTTCATTTGGATATCCTACAGGCATTGCAAACGCAGTACGTCCAGAATTGAACACGCTAATCTCTGCTTAGGTGTCTATTCCCAGTTACTCTACAAAGCCTATTCTTCTTTCTGTATTCTTTGCATTATATTTATTTATTTATTATTATTTTTTTTGAGACGGAGCCTTGCTCTGTTGCCCAGGTTGGGGTGCAGTGGCACGATCTCGGCTCACTGCAATCTCTGCCTCCCAGTTCCAAACAGTTCTCCTGCCGCAGTCTCCTGAGTAGCTAGGACTGCAGGATATTTTACATGATATTTATACTCTTTGTACTAATGAAGGTTTAGACCCTCTACCCAGTTTCCCAAGCCAAATGTTTGGGAACCTTTGATTCTTTTCCTACCTTTTAAACACCATATCCTATTTATTCTTCTTCTTGCACCTCTCCCACATTTTATGGGCTATGAGGTTACTTGATTAAGTCCATGAACTTCCTTAACTACTGCAACACACTGCAAGACATTTGCCTTACCTCCAAGAATTGCCTTCCCTAATTCTCATTTCACTGTGGCCCTAGAATTCAAAGACAGATACTTGATGTTACTACCTTTCTTACTATTGATCTTTAGCATCTTGTAACTCACAGCACACAATTTAAAACCTTTTGTCTACCTGAAAAACACCTAATCATGTTTCTTCTTCCTCTGGGACGTTTTCCAGGACGGATTTAGACATGTTATCCTGATCTGCCACTCAACTTTGTGGATCATCCAATGCTCGTATTTTCATGTTTGCAAGTCTGATTCTCCAATTGTTTCAATGACTTGATAGCAAGTCCTTGCCTTCTTAACTTTGTATCCATGGCGTGTAGTATACTTTTAGTGAATGAAGAAAGTGTGTGTGTGTGTGTGTGTGTGTGTGTGTGTGTGTATTTTTAAGTATATAATTGCAATGACTGGCAAAAAAATCACCTGGGAATCTCAAAGCATGCCCTGCCAAAATTAAAATCAGAATGCCTACTCGATTACATATGTAACTTTTGAGACGCACTTAAGAATGTATCCTGACTACAATTTATGCTATAGAAAGAATGTGTTCCACCACTGGGACATGCACACACTTTTAAGAGCTCTGTATTATGGTGGTGATAGTGCTTAATGTTTTTGACCAATAGACTCCAACGATCCCCATGAATTAGCTGCAGTATACATTGGAAAAGAGATGAGGTGAGGTCTGTGTAATACTCTGCTGAGACACTCTTTGTTAAGGAGACCAGTTTCAGTATCTCTAACAATAGAACCTCAGCTCCCACAGATTTTTCAGACATTCTTCTGAGTCCATCAAATGCTGAGGCTGAAGAGACACAAGCCCCTTTCCGCGATTATAGCCGTCACCACTGGCCTGTATACAGGGTCAGGGAAGATGGGCAGCATTTTCTTTTTTAGAGAGGTGTTCGTTACACTTGTTGTCTGAACTTTCCCTTTAATTTCTCTCACAACAAGAGACCAAAATTAATTATTTCCTCATAGTAACTCTTTCTCCCTCTCAAGGGAAATATTATATTCAAATTGGAAGTATTATACTTTGAGTAATGAGAAAATGTTAGGATTTACTAGAAAAGCTAAGAGAGCATTTGTATTCAATAGTTGCTGTTTTCCAGCGCTATGGAGGGAGATGACTTGGCATGGACTCCTGTTTACGAGCTGGGTAACCTCAGGCAAATCTTACCCTCTGTCTCTCATCCTTTGTTTCCCGTTTAACACTGAAGTTTGTGTTTCAGGGGGAAAAGAACGTCTAACTTAATCTGCCTATTTAGGGTCTTTTATTCCAGTCTTTGTGAAAATTCAACCCTCACCTAATCTGTTACTTCAGTCAATATACAATTAACATACTATTCAAGGTTTATTGGCTGATAACTTCATCATTGCCACATTTTTTTCAAATTGATTTAATAATGGATGAAGCTAGGCCTAGAACATGCTTTATGCATTTGACTTCTATCCTGGTTTAGGGCCTCATTAAAATTTGAACTTTGATGGTTAGCTTGTATTTTAACCAATATACTAATTCTCCCTCTACTTTTTAATCCTTAAAAGAAAATCAAAATTTTAATTAAACAGAATCAGAAAAAAATAAGTAATAGTTTAGAAGGATGCAAATAATAGGAAAAGAGGGGAAAAAAGCAGATTGTCAATGACTCTGAAAGAGAGAAATGTGTGCTATGGTAAATGGTATATATTGGTCAAGACTAAAATAACTTACAATTTTTTAAGAAAGATGCTCATACTTTTGCTTATTAGTGTTGTGAAGAATCAGTACTACAACTGGTACAACTAAACAAGGGATGCCTTTTTTTACCTGCTTCACAAAATTGTTATAAGAATTAAATGTGGGCCGGGCGCGGTGGCTCAAGCCTGTAATCCCAGCACTTTGGGAGGCTGAGGCGGGTGGATCACGAGGTCAAGAGATCGAGACCATCCTGGTCAACATGGTGAAACCCCGTCTCTACTAAAAATACAAAAAATTAGCTGGGCATGGTGGCGCGTGCCTGTAATCCCAGCTACTCAGGAGGCTGAGGCAGGAGAATTGCCTGAACCCAGGAGGCGGGGGTTGCGGTGGGCCGAGATCGTGCCATTGCACTCCAGCCTGGGTAACATGAGTGAAACTCCGTCTCAAAAAAAAAAAAAAAAAAGAATTAAATGTGGTAACATATATGAAAGCAATTTACCGATTACAAAGTTCTCTATAAATGTCTAGTGTTGCCAGAGCAGCCATTTATTAGAGACTGTCAACTTCTGGGTCACTAATTTCTATGTGGCTTCATGGGCTTTAATTCAATGAGTTTCAGGAAACAATACGCCTTGATCAGTGCTACAGAATTTGCCCACATAAGAATACCAAATATACCACCTGCAGGGTATTTTATTTGCTTTAAAGGCCAAAGATCTTTTTCTTATTTTAAAAAATGCATAAGACTTTGTTTTTGAAACCATAAGTGGCACTGACATCTCTCAAGACTGAAAGCGCTATTGTCTCGTTTTAAGTTGCCTCTCCTTCTTATTAGGAGAGGATGTTGTTGGCAGGAATGAATAATTAGGTAACTCTTTGTGGGCACATTTTCTTCAAGTCCCAAGGGGAATGTACAATTGTAACATCTCCTTGGATTATTTCACAAACATATGGCAAATGAAGCACCTGAGCCAGATGTACAAGCATATTATAGTATGTCTGTTTTAACTTAAAACTGTGAAATACATCAGATGGTGAAGTTATTTTGGTTGTGAACATCCATCATGGAAACAGTATGGAAGCATCTTTTCTTTATTGTCCATTTTACTTGGACTGGAAATAATCAAGAACAAAACAGTTTGGAAATCATCATTTGCAGTGCAAGATTCCAGGTAAAGTTCAAGACTTAATGAAGTACATGCTCTGGATTTAGTGGGGCCTCAGATATCCCCACATGCCTCTTGCCAATACTCACTGCTGGCAGGCCTGGAGTCTCAGATTACCCATGCTTATTTTCAGGTCTTTCCCGCCTCCCCCATCTTGTGTTTTCACTCCTCTGGAGATGCATATAGGTTATTTAATAGATACTGTTTAAATAATGAGAATATATTTTCTACTGATTCAGTAGAGAGTTTTTGCTGTTTTTATTTTTAACCCTATTTTATTTATTTATTTATTTTTTTGAGATGGAGTCTTGCTCTGTCACCAGGCTGGAGTGTGGGGGCCCAATCTCGGCTCACTGCAACCTCTGCCTCCTGGGTTCAAGCGATTCTTCCGCATCAGCCTCCGGAGTAGCTGGACCAAAGGCACGTGCCACCACACCTGGCTAATTTTTTTGTATTTTTAGTAGAGACAGGGTTTCACCATGTTGGCCAGGATGGTCTCGATCTCTTGACCTCGTGATCTGCCCACCTCAGCCTCCCAAAGTGCTGGGATTGCAGGCGTGAGCCACTGTGCCCGGCCTTTTAACCCTATTTTATTGTTACAACATTGGTTATTTTACTGAAGAGTCATCATCTGGCATTGGCTTCTTGGAATCATAGTAATCTAAGCAGAAATACCCATCCCATTTGCTAGTGGGAACACTGTATTTCAAAATGAATGGTATAATTTTTAATCTGACTTAGTCATGTTTCAGAATTAGAAGCTATACATGCCACAGAACTCTCAAGTGTACAGTAAGAAAAGAAAGAATACCCAGGCATGGGCAAGTATATTTTCCCTTCAATGCATATGTGCAAATTCCATTAGCATTAATGAGTGCTATGCACATGTACTTAAGAGAATGTGGACCAAGTCACAATATAATCTATTTCTTTATCCAAGTTAAAAAAAAAAAGTGATGGGGGTAGGGGTCTGGCGAGGAGAGCTAGCATTGTATTCCTGAGCTTTTCCTGAGAATTAGAGTTACACAGGACTGAAAGTATGCAAACAGTATGGTGGCGGTGACACCAGGGAAAAGGCACTTACTTTTTACAGCCAGTATGGCATACAGCAGAGATTTGGGGGTTGAATTACTATGGTTGGCAATGTTGAAGCTGACAATAGAGGTCTGCAGAGTCCTGGATATTCTGGCTTTGTGTTGCATCAAAATAAGGAAACAAAATATTTATGAACTTAATTCTGCCTCTCAACTTTTCCCCCTTTGTATGGCAATTCTCTGCATGATGATGTGTATAGATGTGCAGTTCAGATGTGTTCCTAGCCAATATAGCATTTCATAATGTGGTGCACCTGTGTTTTCCTGGTCACCCTGTTGTCACCAGGGTGTGTTAAAGCACTCTCTCCAAAATAATTGAGTAGGAGGCAGTGCAGGGAGTGTCGGGGAAGGGGACAGGATCTCTCCTCCCCCTTTATTTCTAATGTCTTCTCATTTGGAAAGCCTTGGAATGTAGATTTAATTTCAGGTGACAATGTCAGGTTTATCCCAGTTCAGAGCTGTTGATAAATCCTGGTATGGGACTGCGGTGACCCTGTGTGCCCTCATACTTTACCTATCACACAGGGAGGCAGCTATATTTATAAAACACACATCTGATATTGTAGAATGGCTAAGGTCAGGACATCTGAGCCACACATCAGGCATACAACCACACAAAAGTGCATCACGCAGAGGCACCCTTTGCAAAGCTGCTAACCCAAGAACGCCTCTCCCAGATTAGTAGGGCCTCCAATGTATTAATGACCCTCAACCTTAGCAAGCCCAGCACTCTGATGAGTCTGAGAAATGGACTTTAAGCATTGGAAGACGCCACAAAAAGCGAAACATAATGACTAGCAATGAAGGCAGACAACAAAACAAAAATACTGATTTTTGTGCCCTTACCTTCATTTCCCCCCTGAAGATTTAAACTTCTGATGGTAAAAGCAATAATATTCTGACCTTAAAGGGCTGAGGTTCTGTTGCCAGTGGTTGCTTAAAGGATCATTCCTCAGCGGCATTGTATCACCAGCCCTAGCAGCGGCGGCGGTGGCGACAACCACAAAAACTGGAGTTCAGTCATATTGGCATCGGATTCTGGAAAGGGGAGGGCAGGGAGAGAGGGAGTCTATTGGCCTAAAAAGCTGAAACATCTGCTGGAGTTATTAACAGCTTTTTGGCTGAGTTCAGCAGCAGGGCACCTTGTGGTTGATAGATTCTTCTCTCAGCAATTCAAAACAATGCAGTTAAAGCAAATTCCTCATTTTCAGAGCACAGCTTAATGAGGCATACAGTATTTTAAAAATAGTCACACTTAAAATGGTCAATAGCAGTGACTGCAATCAGTGGTTACCTTCAGTACTCTATTGCGTTGTTAACTTTGCCAGGGTGATTGCATAACATGGATTTTTCAAAAGACCGTGCAGCTCACGGTTAACTCACTTTGTAGGAATTTATATTATTTATGAAGTTTATGCAGATCATCCTAGGGTGTAAATATTGGCAAACTTGATCAAAACCACTTAGAGGCCTCATGGCTATCCTTTCCCAAATGTGTGCAGTAAGCCACTTTAGGCTCAGAAGTCCAATTCCAGGAAAGTTCCAAGGGGCCACATTTTGAAGATAAAAGGAAAGGAAACATGTGAACAGCCTGAGCTGGAGAAAGGACTGAGTTGAAAGTCAGGGTCGAAGGTTCTAGCTCTAGTCCTAATACTAACTGGCTGCGTGAGTCCTTGCGGGAGTCGCTTAATCTTTCTGCTTCAATTTCTTTCTGGATAAAATTATGGGGCCAATTAAAGGGTATGTCTCCAAATGTTTCCATCCAGCTCTGCCATCTTGGGAACTATGGAGTTCAAAACCAATTTTAAAGTATTCCCCTTATGATAGCCATGAATTGTAACCACACTGAAGACTGTTCACCAGTATGTGACAGTATGCATGGTATTTGGGTAGGGGCATCAGACAAACAAACTGCAAAGTTAAATAGCTCTGTCAGTCATTTCAAGTGAACACACCATATGCTGCAACAGACGTGGGCAAAGTACAACCAGCCCCAGCTGGATTTGCTAGCCTGTTAGTTTATCTGGCCAGATGACAGTGTCCAGCCCCAAAAAGGGTCATGCGCAGCTTTGCATCCTACTGATCCAGCATGCTAACTTTGGCAGAAGGAAGAGGGTGGCAAGGGAAAGAGAGGGCAGACCAGTGGTGGGTCAACATCTGTGACAAAGCTGAAGTCAGCCGCACTCCTCTTTCATCGCTTGCCTAGCACATGGAAAGACAGGAGAGAGAGTTTGCCAAGTTATTGTTTCCTCAGGCAATTGAATGATCTGATCCCCCGTTGCAGAGAAAAATCACAGAATGGTGCCCTCCTTTCTGCATTCTGGTCCAAGGATCCCTAAGGACAAAGGAAGAATTCTTATCTATTAAACATTTTTCTTGTTAGTTCTAAAATATGGTTAAATCCTGATAGGGTCTTATGAACGTGAGAGTGTTTCTAGTCTCTAATCACCAATTTCCACCATTAAGGCTAAGGGTGCATGGTCTAAGGTCAAATCGATTTGTCTGATCCTCTGCCTCAGTAAGAGTCTCAGGTTTCACTCAAACCTGCTGGCAGCATTGTACAAGTTCAGTGAATAAAAACAAATCAAAGCCTTTCCACACTGCCTGAAGGGCTCATATGGTGTGGTCCTTGATTCCTGAATGAACTTAAAGGGAAACCATCACAGGGTCCAGAGCCCTCATCCTGCAGGTGAAGAAGGAGATTGTCCTCTAGTTCCTTGCTGCAGAAGCTACTTGGTTGGTACTTGGCCTGACTTTTAGATGAAAGCATGTATCTATAGAAGAAAGCCTCAGACCACTCAGAGAAGCTGGGAGATGCTTCTTATGGCAGCTTAGACCTTTGTTGTCATTGAAAACAGAACTGATGACATGACTTGTCCTCCAAGAATGCCAGCCAAGGTGCTATGCTGAGGTTGCTGTTGCCATCAGAGACTCATCCATTGCTGAGTAATTAAATCCTGAACCCTGTTGAACCAGATCCAAATAGCTCTCAATAAGCCTCAGTTTTGGTGGCTATCAATCCCAGGATTGATCACTGGCCTCTTACAGGGGCATCTTCTGTGAACCTGTGGTTCTGTGGCACACAGGTGGTCCACTATGTGACTGTGGTATATGGACACTGAAATCTTGTGTAAAGGAGCCCCCAGTGTGTCTGCAATGGGAGGAATACTGACCCAGGAAGTTCTGCATGAGCAAAGTATATCTTCCACAAACTCCCATGGAAAGCCATACCTAGACTCTCCTTCAACGCAGACACAGATGAGGTGGGAAAGACCCAATCTCTGCTGAAAAGATAGTGACCTGGGTTTCAGAGGAAATTAACCATCCAGCTCCCAAATCCACTGCTGCCGAACCTGGGGTTGCAGATTGGCCTGAAGGCCCACATATCTCATGCAACTTGTTCAGCAGTCTCTTCCTGAAGCCCGAGGACACAGGCTGCTGCTGAAGACTGTGTGCAGCTCCCACCCCAGGGGACATTGAGTGAACAGACACAGCCACAGCCACAACCACACAATGACCTTAAACTGGCCTTTTATCGGTTCTTCAAGAGAATACTGAAATAAAGTTGATGGGAAAAAAATATCAATTTAGTGTTACACACTCACTCCAACAGATCTGTGTCAAAAAGCAAGTATAGACATGCCCTCACATCTGTGTCACCTAGAGCATGGCTGTTGATTTTCTAGAAATATGTGCATTTTAAACGCAATGTCACCTGTCAAGTCAGGGCATGCATGAGATCCAATAGCAAATCGTTTTTTTGTATGGTGAAAAACAAGCAATAGTATCTTATTTGAACTTTGCCATATGTGACAATTACCATATTAAAATATAATTCTAATTCTAATGCTTCAAAGACATGTGTTGTGTTTAGTAAAATTAAGAAGTAGAAACTAGAAAGCCCATGGCTATCTTTATTTTGGCCAATAGGCCAGTAGTTAATTTTGAGTGAGCTGCTCAACCTCTGTGTAATAATCTGCCTTTTTCCACGTAAAGTAAAACTAAGTATTGTTATCACATACTGTTATAAGACATCACACTTTTTTTCAGAGTTAATGTGAAAATGCTGGGGCTTAATAATAATTGAATTACAACCTAATATTTTATAATTGTTAGAATTATTACTCTGTAATCTGAAATGAGTCTTATAATTATTCATTACTTAGAGAAAGAATATTTCTTAGGGCTGCTACATAGATGAAAGATAAAGGAGATAATGCAATCTTGGTATTGCACAGCCAAGTAACAATATCCTTGTAGCATTCCAAGGGGACATTAGGGGCCACCTGCTCTAATCTCATTGTTAAATAGGGAAGATAGTCTTGGAGAGGCTAAGCCACTTGTCTAAGATTACACAGTGAAATTGCTCTGCAACATATTCTATTTCTCAATATAGTTTTAATAATAAAACTATATTCTCTTATAACACATGTTATCAAAGATATAGTAAGTAATTAAGATAGGACTCTAATATGGTATCTACCTTTTGTCTCTTTTTATATACTCCCCCTGACAGTACCTTTCTTTTAGCAAAGAGAAGAGTGTCTACTGCGGTCCAGAAAGAGTAGAAAATTTTTCTCCCAAAACCCTTCAGTGGAAAGTCTATATTGATATCCAATATTAATCTTTATCAATTCACCAATGAATAAATAAATGTTTTGCTCTGCTGAAATATACAAGAATAAACAGTAGCTTCAACCACAGGAAAGGGCTCTGGGAAAAAGATGCCAATATTGTTGAGTATTCCAGACATTTTGCTAAGAGCTTTTTAAAATATGTAGTTGAGGCCAGATGCAGTGGCTTACACCTATAATCCCAGCACTTTGGGAAGCCAAAGGGGGGCAGATCACCTGATGTCAGGAGTTCGAGATCAGCCTGGCCAACATGGTGAAACCCTGTCTCTACTAAAAATACAAAAATTAGCTGGGTATGGTGGTGGGCGCCTGTAATCCCAGCTACTTGGGAGGCTACGGCAGGAGAATCTCTTGAACCTGGAAGGCAAAGTTTGCAGTAAACAGAGATTGTGCCACAACACTCCAGCCTGGGCAACAGAGCTTGATTCCATCTCAAAAAAAAAAAAAAAAAAAAAAAAACATTTGATTTTAATTATCTAAAACCTATAAGGTAGGTACTTTTTTTTTTTTTTACATGTAAAGAAACAGAGACCCAGAGAGAGGTAGTACACTGCCTAACAGTACATTATTACTACGTCATAGAGAGAAACTTTGATTCCAGGTTTGCCTAACTTGACCTCTTCATTTACCCATATGTACAATACATTTGCAAAACAATATATGTTCAAAGAAATATACATAGTAAGTGTCGGGCATTATAGATAATGCCTGTCATGAGAGCGCCAAGGAGGTATCACTTGATATCCCTGGGAATGAGTCAATGATGACTCATGGCAGATTAGAGTGGCCAAGTATTATGTTTCACTGAAAATCTTACTTGAGCCAAGTCTTGAGGAATGGGTAGGATTCGATAGGAAAATAATATAATAGGGAGGAACATTTTACTTTGAAGAAATAGATTCTATCCGGAAGCGCAAAGTAAAGAAGCATAATTACATCATTTTAGTTAAAAAGAAAGGTTCCCTTTGAGAAGTCATAAAACAAGACCAGAGAGGAAGCTTGGATTTGGACTCTAAAGAATTAAATGCCAGAGTAAAGAGTTTGGCAATAGTGGACTGTGACATGTTACTTGGATATAAATTAGAAGAGAACCAGAGAAAGGAGACAATGTCTCAGATTTTACTATGATAGTCCAGACATGAAGCGGCTATGGTGATGGTGGTGATACAGTAAAAACAGACTTAAAGAAACTTTCAGGGCAAACTAAGCACTGTTCCCAAGAGAAATGGGAATTGATTGTAAATTAATGGAAGGATCTGGGATAATAAAAGTTGTCCAAATTGTTATGCTTGGAGTCATGTGTTGAACATTCTATTGTTTAACACTTACTATATACCTGGTGCTATTCTGCTTTCCAGAGATACAGCAAGTGAATCAGACAGTCACTCTGTGCTGT